GACCCTTTTTACTGGAGAAGAAGCATTCCATCTTAGTCCTCACGTGTGAAAACGCATCTGCATTTTGATACTTTATTGAGGATAGATGTAGATGTCAATGGGCCACAGTAACCATTTACCATCAGGTGGACTGTGTGCTCGTTTGTCACCCTTATTCTATAAAAAAAATCCAGACCTAGAAAGTACGCTGTACTGGTTGTCCTCACCGATTGATTAAAGATAATATAAAAGCCACGGACGTAAAAAAGATAGCAAAATGAATAGCTTATTTCAATACAAAGTGGTTATTTACTTCAAAACCAATGACTTGACATAATTAATAACTTAAAATTAAACATTTTGTTCAACCGACGTCAATATAAATTATTAAGAATAACTCAAAAACAGGCCTTGATCAAATTTATATGGGACCACATGTGAATCACCAGCTTTCAAATAAAAAAGAATCGTCACACATAAAAAAACATACAGTCGAATTGAGTACCTCCTCCTGTTTGAAGTCGGTAGAAAAATTACATAATAAGCCTTAAAATTATCAAAACAACAACAAACTATTCAACCTTAATAATGAGATGTTACATTGTAATATACCAGTGCTGCCATCTATTATCGAACAAGTGAACTACGAACATGATCCATATAACCTCCACATTCATATTTTGTATTTTGTAAGCACAAAGAAATTAAAGAAAAATATCTAAGATGGAATGTCATAAAGCATAATTATATAGGTTCTTTTACCCTTCAAACAAGAACACAGTAGTGGGTAATCTGCTACTTGACGGCAGAATAAGTAGGCGAGGTTGGTAATACACTAAACGGACTCCGGATAATGTACCTACTACAAAACTTGTATATAATTTTTTATGTAGAGCCAAATTAAACTAACAGCGCCGCCAACAACTCACCTGTGGGAAAGACATCACAACAAACGCCCGCAGACACTCGTACATTAACGTTAAAAAAAGTTGTCCCCTGTAATTAGGACGCGTTGAGTGAAGCCTGTAAGTATGACTCCCGAATATGACGGAGTGGCGTAAGTATTGAGCAAATAGCGGGAAAGTTTAATGTGTGTTTATGTTTGTTCTTAATCTAAAGGTTATGCGAGAAACATTTTACTGTGTTAGATTTTATACGTGGTAGAACCATGCTGCAGCTATATTATGGTTGTAGCACGAATAGGTCGGCTCGACCAGGGCCAACTTAAAATAGCAGCTTGATGCTGCTGTTTCGTATGGTGAGTGTAGCAAACCGTAGACCCTTTTCTGGATACGAGGCATTCTATCTCAGCTCTCAGGAGTAGCAACGCATCTGCATTTTGATTCTTAATTGTGGATAAATGTAGATGTATGTGGACTGTGTGCCCGTTTGTCACCATTTTCTATAAAAGAAAATTGTGTTAGATATAGGGTTTTTTATGATACAAGAGTGACAAGCGATCCTAGACCGCCGATCTAGATCCTAAACGTCTGACAACCGCTACCATTGGCCATTAATGGAGATTTTTATGTTCTGTAGTCGTTTTGTAGCAGTTCCGTTTGACTTCGCTAGATAATATATCGAAAGATGGGTCATCGTCATCTAAGGTGTGGGTGAACATTTTCGTAAAATGAAAATAAATAATAGGAGAACAAAGGAATTTTTGAACTTCTATTTAATATTGGAAATTCCATCTATAATTAAATTTAACAAAATTTTGCAGATGCAGAGGGTAAATAAGTATTTTTTCCCGGAGCAGTGCTCGGTCGCCCAGGGGCGAGGCTTAGCGTTCGTCGTATAGGTATATCATTCCTACGCGAGCAACCCGGGTTCGATCTCTGCCAGCATTGATGTAATTCTTAATAGCAATTATATGCTGTTTTACCACTCGGCGATTAAGAAAACCGGAATTCATGAGAAATTAAAAAAATTTACTAACTTCAATTTTTCTTAATACTGATATACAATATGTAACAAAAACCCTGTGGTTCCCGTTAAGTACGTTATCAGGATCATTATTCAAACGTATAGAAATAACTTTTTATTAAAAACTCGAACAATATTTTTTTTTATTTTATTTATAAAATAATAATTGTATGCAAATTATATGTGGTTTTATTACCTCTTCATGGTCTGGGGAGTAAGAGGATTGTCAAGGACCCTGCTTTACTTAGCTTTAGCATCGGCTAGTGTCAGTAAGAGGTAATAAAATCACATAAAATTAAAAAAAAATAAAATTAAAAAAATATATATGGTCGAGTTTTAAAAAAAAAGCTATTTCTATAGGTTTGAATACTGATCCTGATAACGTACTTAACGGGAACCACAGGGTTTTTGTTACATGTTGTATAATATGTAATAAACAACTGAATTAATCATGCATACAAATATCATGGTTGCGATCACCTTATTCATAGTGCTTATTAAGAGTCATATTATATTATTTAATATTATAATTACCTTCTTTATGCAGCTTCTGTTTAACAAAAATTTTGAACTTTTTAATTGATAAGTCCCGCATATTTTCTGGGACTTTGTCCGAAAAGCGTATACATTGCCCCATGACGGAATTACTGACTCTTTGGAGTCGAGTAACTGGTATTACTAGCTTGTGCTTGTTCAATAGAAGAACAACATACACCGAATTCGTTATCCGCGTTCTCTCATGCCTTAATACCGTCATTCGGGACTCGAGCCCCCTTTATTTGGGCGCCCATCACCCTTGTATTTTGGTTCTCCAATTAGTAGCGCTACCGTAATTGTACCGTAAAGCTGAGTTAATGAATTCCTATACTTAGCCGTTGTTTGATGTAATAATACATTTGTTTTTAACTAGTAGCGCCCCGCGGCTGTGTTCGCGTGACGACAAAAGTTGAGAATATTAATTTCATTCGTCCAACCCCTGCATGTTTTAGTATAGATTTTAGGTGAGTACCTAACTTTAGAGATGTTTTTCAATAGCAAAAAAGATTTTAAATTGCGCTGTACCTATATATTTTGTTTATGGTTGGTATATACAGAGTTATTTTGCAATATCCGGTCAAATTTGCAGAAAAGGTTCAGAATAAGCAATATAGGCAAAAGGTGCAGAAAAATTAATTAAAAAAATCTCAAACATTCTGTGCTTTTTATCTTTTAAATTGAGAATGCGTTGTAATGCATTATTTTAACTGACTGTCATTCATAAATATCTAACGTCTACTATTTTATTACGCACGCACACATTCGGAAGGGTCGATTGGTCAGCAAAAACGTTTGTGAATTGAATCGCACATAGAGGAGCGGGCGTACGCGTAGTTGTTGCCATAAATCACATTCAATTTGGGATAATTTCAAATAAAGTACAGGTCCTTACCCGATGTCAGTAAAAATTTATAATAAATTGCCGGAATACATAAAAGCCGAAACAAATATTAATAAATTCATAAGATCTTTAAAAGATATACTTATTAAAAAAGTTATTATTCAATTAATGAATACATTGAGGAAAATAATTTTTAAGTTTCTGCCCCTCTCCTGTTCATTGCTATGCTTTTCGAGGTGCATGTGATTGTTAAAACTTGCATGTTATTGTTTAGTCACTAAGTCACATGTAACGCAATTTGTGAATAAATAAAAAAAACGTAGAAGCCTTATTTCCGTGTATTTTCAAAAACTGCAATAAAGGTATATCATTATTTATATATTTGAACTTAAGTTTAAAATTTGGCCACTCTTTAGAAAATAACCCTGTGTAATATGTAATATGTTATTGCATTATTACATAACCGTGTTATATCTATGACAATAAGCAATTCCTGACATAGCGATGACAGTAATATTGCTGCAGCGATGACAGTAATAGTGCCCGTTTTTTAATACAATTATCTACTAAATCGTCTGTTTAATTAGCTGGATGTCAGATGCGATTGAAGCAATACTACTGATACTATCCAGGATTACTGGGAAAATAAAATTTTGACTGTATCCAAACTTGAAAATTAATGTTTTTAAGAACTTTTCTGACCTGAACTACTGGATTAAGAAGAGACGGACATAAGTTTCCTGCAATTAAGACGGTAACCAGTGACGGCATTTAAACGTTAGCGGTAGATGGATGACGTTGACAAGAGTAGCGCAAAGAATTTGACACCCGAGTAAAGTCTGACACAATTTTTGTCGGACGTACGACTCTGGTAGAACATTCGAAAAAACGTCTCGAAGCCGACAAAAAAGCCGGTGTCGTATAAATATTAAAATATGAAATGCTCCGCGATTAGAAAACCCGTTATTCATCCGAACCGACATCCGACAAATTGAATGGGCCTTTATAATAAGTGATCCTTGTGATTCTATTTTTTTATATTTATTATTTTTATTAATTGCCAAATATTCCTCAAAATGTTTTTTTTTATTATATAAAATAAGGTTGACAAACGAGCACACAGTCCACCTGATGGTAAGTGGTTGCTGTGGCCCATTGACATCTACATTTATTCTCGATTACGAATCAAAATTCAGATGCGTTGTCACCCGTGAGGACTTAGATGGAATGCCTCTTGTCCAGTAAAAAGGGTCTCCGGTTCTCTACACTCACCATACGAAACACAGCAGCATTAAGCTGCTATTTTACGTTGGTATTCTGTGAGAGCGTGGTCCTTCCTCGGTCGAGCCGACTCATTCGTGTTACAACTATACCGGAAATATAGCTGCAGCATGGCTCTACCACGTATAAAATGTATCCAAATTATTGAATGGATAAGCAATAAAACCTGGTAATAGCACGATACCTATTACCCAATATCACACTATTCTTTACTATTATTTCTATATATTTATATTTTATCTATTAGTAATATTTTCAATAAGTGCCAAAAATATGTATTATGACATATAAAATCAAAACGATTAAATGATTTGACACTTCCGTTAGAATTTCACCAATTTGACATTAATCTTCAGAATATTAAAAGACTTAGAATATCTTCTGAAACGAATACACATCAGTATTACTGTATAGCTACCAAAACAGTACCTTAAATATGACTTCTCATAGAATTGAAGATGCACACATAGAAGAACTTAATAAATTGCTGCTGAATTCTGGTGTTACATGCATACGATCTACATTGGAGTCTGAAGAGTCGTCGGTGTCGACTGAAGAGACTGAGAAGAATGGTAATTTGAGTAATTATTTTATTGTTTTTTTTTATTAATTATGTTAAAACAAAAAAAGATAGACCTGGACAAGAAAAGATGTAGTGTTCTGTGTAAGACGGCTATGGATGGTATATTTAATATACTTATTATGACAAATGTTGCTCGTTTTCTTTACCTTAACTAAGTAGTATAAAAACATTCCCATCAGATGGACTGTACGTTCGTTAGTCAGTTCAGTTTTATAAATAAATATAATTAACATGGACTTCATACGAACTGCAATAAACTTGAAGAATAAGTTTTATACCTTTGATCTATTGCCTTCACGCTGTACCCGAAGCACCGAGCTGCAAATAAGAGAGACAACTGCAACTCGGATATACAAAAAAATTGAGAAAATCATAGATACCATATCCCAAGTTTTCTAATGAAAAACTGAACCGATTTTATTTTTCTACCGACTTCAAACAGGAGCCGGTACTCTATTCGACTGTATGTTTTTTTATGTGTGTTACCTCATAACTTTTTACTGGCTGAACCGATTTCGATGATTCTTTTTTTATTTGAAAGATGGTGCTTCACATGTGGTCCGATATAAATTTGATCACGGTCTGACCAATAGTTTTTGAGTTTTTCTTAATAATTTATATTGAAGTCGGTTATACAAATTTTTTAATTATTTAATAACAACATAGGAAGTAGATATCTGTTGTGGCTTTGTCTTGACGTTTTTATTTTATTTTTTTATGTTTGTTTTTGTTAGCTCAATCTCATAACAGCAATATTATAAATGGTTGGTTTTAATAATTTTAGAAATTTTCTACTTTTAAACGTAGTTAAGTTATAAAAAAACCTAACCTATTCGTACTACAACATCACATACGTATAATGCTGCCTGGATATCCTTTTAATTACGTTAATATACAAATTATAAATATTTTTTAATTACATGTTAAGTGCAAATCAAAGAAGAAGAGGAAGAAGCAGTAGAAGTTGTGATAGAAGAAGAAACAACACCTATTCCAGAGGAAATTGAAGAAGAAATGCCAGAAATATTTCCAACGCCATCGTTAAGAAAAGTCTTGCCCGAAAAAATTAGGAACATCGAAAGGCAGAACCAAATACACGTACTACCTGAAGAGTTTAAAACGGATATAGACCCACAAAGAATTCCAAAAATTGCATCCACACCCGCGCAGAAATACATCGACGAATTAGCCGAATTAACAGGCTGCAGTTGTTACAAAAATAGTTTGTCAGAATTCTGGTTTTTGGATACGTTGGCCAATCTCTTGAGGAGAGCACAAGAAGACCAGATGGACAAACGTATGAGAAATAACATTACTTGTATCATGTACCATCGACGAATACAAATAATACGATTTGAATGGAGATTCAGATATTTAGGACGTCATTTACCGCTGAGTGTTACTTAACTGTTATTTGTTATCAAAACACCACTGGTGAACCTCTCTCTTCTTCTCTCCGATAGATGTCCGCCAAGGAAGTTATTTGCCATAGTTGACGTGCTTGGCAGGCGGTTTATTTTGTTGTTATTAGGAAGACGCTGCTGCCTATCTTATGATTCGTGTCCCTTTGTCGCCACTTACGACACCTATGAGACGGTATGAGGCTTTGCATCAACGCCATCTATTTTTAACACTAGACTTTAAAGCTTTTCGAGGGAAATTATCAGCCCCCTTGTATGTTTTAGTTAATCTTTTTATAACTTTATCCTTTTAGTACTTCTGAGCTTCTGATGTTCAGTGGTGGGGCATAAGAGAATTCATCAGGCCTTATTTACATGGGTGTTATAAGAGACGACTTAGGAAAGTGCCTAAAAGATCTTGCAGTCTCCGATAGATGGCGGTATAACAATGTTGTATTTTTTTTGGAGCTTATGTCCTGGTGTCTAGACTTTTAGGCCAAACAATGTTGTATTTTATAACAAATAGACTGTATATAATACTTTTTATTAACAAATATAAAGTGTTATATTTAGACCGACTGATGTTAAAGAATTAAAGATGCAAGATGTCTGGTAGGTACTTTGATTGTATAACCGCCTGTCAACCGTGCTAATTACGAAGCCATCAGCCTAGTAGTTGATAAGGAGTAGGAATTCATACGCGTGAAAATAAAAGTGTATTTTTTATGTTATTCATAGAATTTTTCTTCGTCACCGACTATTTCACGGCATCTTTATTCATAATTTTATAATGATTAACAAACTAACAGTAGGTAGGTACAAATTGCGACTGGTGACCCATAGTGACTGCAACGAACTAAGAAGGTTATGGGTGTCGGGTGGGTTTGGGTCACTAAAAGCACAGAATAAATAATAGCTAAAAGGGAGTAGGTAGCTTATATTTTGTAATTATACTGATTGTTCATAACCTTAAAACTAGAACCCTTCTGCTTGGTGACAGTGACTGCACTGTTGCGTTTCGGTCTGGAGGTTATAGAGTTATAATCACAGGCTCTGGGGCACTCCATCTTAGCCCTTAGCGATGAGAACGCAGAAGTAACCTTCTTTGCTTGAAATTGGTTGCTGGTGTTCACGGACTGCAGCCCACGGACATCAGGTGGATTGTACGTTCCTTTGTCACTTCAAAATAAAACACCAGCCCTACGTAATGACTTATAGGACAATTTTTCAAAGTTGTATGCTCTTAGTTCCAGTACCTACTGAAAGCGTTTATAATATAGTCGCGTCACGTCATGAAGGTATTATTACCTTTCCTTATGAAGGGATTTTGTTTCAGCAACACAGGCTATTTTAATTCTATGGTTTTGCGAATGGATGAAAGAGATGCAGCATTTTGACGCAGCTGATCGACAACGGATGTTGAGAAGGTTTAAGGTAACGTTTAGTAAAAGAAAAGTGACGGCCTATACAGGGTTATTTTGCAATAACCCAATAAATTTGCAGAGAAGGTTCCGAATAAGTAATATAGGCAAATGGCGAAGAAAAATTAATTAAATAAATATCAAACATTCTGTCCTTTTTATCTTTTAAATTTAGAATGCGTGGTAATGCATCATTTTAACTGATTATCATTAATAAATATCTAACGCCTACTATTTTATTACGTACGCACACATTTAAGGTCGCTCGGTCGGCAGAAACATTGTGAATTGAATCGCACACAGAGGAACGCGCGTACGCGTAGTTGTTGTCCATAAATCACATTCAATTTGGGATAATTTCAAATAAAAGTAGAAGCCTTATTTGCTCGTATTTTAAAAAATTGCAATAACGGTAGGTATATCATTATTTATATATTTGAACTTAAGTTTACAATTTGGCAACTCTGAAAAATAACCCTGTATAGACTTTCTACTACTGGGCACATGAATCTTCTCATTTCTGAGGCTTTTTGTGCAAGGAAATATCCGCCCCGCTGTCTCAGTACGCGATGGCGGACTGGATGTCTTCGAATATTTTTCTAATTTCTCAGACATGCAGGTTTCCTCACGATATTTTCCTTCCGCGCCGAGCACGTGGTAAATCAGCTCTTGCATTTAACAATTTCATTGGTGCAGGTGAGGACCGAACCCCGGTTTCTCGCGTATGATATTTACGGCGAGCACTTAGCCCCTGAGTTACCAAGGCTTTAGGTTTATGGTAGGATGATGAAAAATATCCTGTGTCTCGATTACAACAATTTAGCTTACTTTTTTTTATAAAACTGAAGTGACAAACAAACTTACACTCCGTCCACCTGATGGTACTTAGCTACTGCAGCACATGGACATCTGCAAACCAACTTTTGTAATTCTAAGTACTTTTTTCTCGCCAATATCTTCACTTCTAAGTTCTCAGGGATGGTAACGCAATTGCGATCATTGTTTGAACTTGGTTATAGGTGTACAATAGCCAGTTACCACTGGATGCACTGTGTTAAATTTTTTGTCAATTTTTTTTAAAGTGTAATAAAAAAAACCGATGATCACCCGGACGAGTGACAGTTCCGGCCTGAAAAAGACGCTACGGGAAGGTTGGATAGAGATGCATTTTATGAGAAGCTCTTACATTGGACGCAATAAAAATTTTTGATCCCATCAACACCATCTTGAAGTTACTCCACTGTGCGATTAACCAGAAGTAGAAGAGTAGTCGTGCAAGAAAGAACTCGCACGAGTACTCTGTTGAATCTGAAATCACAAGCGATTGTTTTCAGATCGATACGGCCGTAGGCCTACTCCTTTTTAAAAGACTTTCCAACTCAGAGGGACTACAATGGGTTACTAGAAAAAGAACCGTGGTAGCTCAGGGCTTGGCGCTCACTGTAATTTTCACAATACGCGACCAACCCGGGCTCGATCCCCGCCGGCGAAATTGTTAATTGCAGTTTTAAGTGCTGATTTACCACGTGCTCGGCGGTGAAGGGAAACATCGTGATGAAACCTGCATGTCCGCCGACACGCATTAGGTGAAGCGCGGCGAACACTTACTTGCCCTAGAAACCCTCTCAGATGTGAGAGGAAGCCTGTGCCCAGCAGTGGGACGTATATAGGCTGTAACTTTAATTTATTTTACTTTTAATTTCTCTGTAATAACGGATTTTCATGGACCGCAGTATTCGCTTACCATCAGAGGAACTGCGTGATCGTTCGCCCCCTCTTTATCTGGACCGTATTGAGTCTCTCTTCTCCAACGCATTTGCTTAACAAAAACATGATAACTATCGTTTATCCATTTTTTTGACTGCCTCGTTGTTTTAGTGGTCGTAAATGTGGTTGGTGCTCATGAGCTCCCGGGTTCGAATCTCGGGCCGAGACAAAATTATTCATTAGATTTTTCTATCAAAAAATTCTCAGTAGCAGACTGGAGTCAGGAATTCGGCGGTGTCTCACTCCCGTGCCACGAAAAGCACATAAAGCCTTTGGTACTGCGCCTGATCACTCTCCGGTCATGTCGGTTTGCCGTCCCATCGGACTATGAGAGTGAGGGAATAGATAGTGCACCTATGCTTGCGCATACACTTGGCACTATAATCCTGTCCTGCGCAGAGGCTAGTCTGCGTTGAGACTGGCCGCCTTGACCGATATTCGGTCTGGAGGACATTATTGTTTTAGGATAACATGCTCTCAGCGGCTCGATACGTGGCTAAAGAGAACAAACTGCCCACACCCGTGGACATCGGAGTTACGTACAAAAGTGAGGACGGGGGCGATGTCAGTCGTCCACCACCGCTGCCAGTGGAGTCCAAACATCTTGTGACCTTCGAGGGGACAGGCTTCGAGTGTTCGCTCCATGATCTCACCAAGATGATTCATTATATTTATGATTTGTAAGTGCGTATTGTTAAGCCATCGCATCCATTTCATCCTTTGGTCACATAATAAATAATAGTTTAGGTGTCGTAAAAGGCGGCTCTGATATAGGTCTTATGGCCTCGGATAGATGGCGTTATAACCATTTTGCTTTTTTTATAGGATATGGGTGACAAACGAGCACACAGTCCACCTGATGGTAAGTGGTTACTGTGGCCCATAGACATCCACATCTATCCTCGTTTGCGAATCAAAATGCAGATGCGTTGTCAGCCGTGAGGACTAAGATGGAATGCCTCGTTGGCAGTAAAAAGGATCTCCGGTTCTCTATACTCACCATACGAAACACAGCAGCGTTAAGCTAGTATTTCTCAATCGGTGTTTTTTTTGCGAGGATTTGTGGTCTATCAAATCTTATATAATGGCGAGGACGATCTTGAACATGTTCATATACTGCAGACTTCCCGGAACGTCGATGCGATAAGTCAGCTATATAGATCTTTTTGTTTGTCCTATGTAAAAGAGACCACATTCGCAATCCACCTTGGACAGTCCTGCATCTTGTAGAGGGATATGAAAAATCCCTCCTCTTGACGAATAGTAAAAATTTACCAATCTTCTTCGGCGGCTTGAAGTATGTTTTAATGTAAGCTTGCTTCAAGATGTAGCCAAACTTGTCTGTGACTCCTCTGACATAGGGTAGTACAGCAGGCACACGCTTGACTGTGGCCGGCTTCACTCGGTCACTGTGACGTAGACGCGGGACCCGAAGCTTGTTGTCTTGCAATACGCCGAGCTTTTCTCGCGGCTCGGCGGCCAGATGTTTTCTGTCACAGATCCCTCATCGTGCTCTCTGAAACAAAGATTTTCCCACGGTAGCTAACTGTGATGGATGATGGTGAGATTCACCATTTAAATATCGGTTGGTATGGGTCTTTTTCCTAAACACAGTGTGACCAATAGTGTTATCAGGATTTCAGATGACTAAAACATCTAGGAAAGCTAAAGAATTGTTTGCCTCTAACTCTATTGTGAATTGTATTTTAGAGTTTATGGAACTAAGGTGGTCTAAATATGTAATTACTTTGCCACATGATAAAATTCTGAAAGTGTCGTCCGTGTGTCGTCAAGTGTGTACCGCTTGTAGAATCTTGTATTTACAGGAGCAGTAAGAAGGGCTTTCTCCTCAGTCCTCCATAAATTGGTTAGTGTAGAGAACCGGAGACCCTTTTTACTGGAAACGAGGCATTCTATCTTAGTCCTCAGGCGTGACAACGCATCTGCATTTTGATTCTTAATCGGGGGTGAATGTTATCTACATTATATCTATGATTTGAATGAACAGATTTCGATGATTCTTTTTTTATTTGAAAGCTGGTGTATCACATGTGGTGATCAAGGTCTGACTAATAGTCTTTAAGTTATTCTTAATAATTTATATTGAAGTCGGTTGTACAAAATTTTTAATTATTAAGTACACAGGATAACATGCAAGTTTGACAATGAATTGCATATGAACGGTGTACTCGGTTCATGTCGAGGACGACGGGGACTTATTAGAAATACCTATATAGGTACTAAGTACAAAATTAACTACCATTTAAATGTAACCACATAAATATTATAGGTTCAGCACAGATTATCAGTACGACTTGATACGTTCGGTGTTCACGTTCACACCGGAGTACCAGCTCATCGACACGCCCCATCAGATACGAAACCCAAAGCGTCTTTACACACCACTAAAAGTGAAACCGAAAGATGTGTCCAAGAAGGAGCAGAAAACTTCTAGAGGAAAGAATAAGGAAGTCGATACGAAAGAATATTTACATTTACTTCAGGTAAAGAATTGGAAGATAACAGGAATTAAGCTAAAATCAGTCATGTGGTCCCATGTCCATGGTCCAATTTGAGCAAAGTCTGACCAGTAGTTTTTCAGTTATCCTTAATAATTTATATTGAAGTCGGTTGTACAACATTTTTAAATTTTACCACTTATTTCTTTTTTTGGACATCACTGCTTCCCTTATTTCAGCTACAAAGCGACATTGAGCGTGAGAAAGAAGAACAGGAAGAGAAGGAAAGAGAAGAATGGAACAGACGTAATCACGTGCTTCCCTTAGCCTTTGCTGTTAATGAGGAATTTTTCGACAAATACTGGCCGCCTCCAACATCGGAAACTGTTCCCGAGTCTGAACCCGAGGCGAGAGGCAAAGGAAAAAAAAAATAACTAAATAAATAACTGGTTCCTAGGAAACTTCTCTACCTACAGATTTGAATAAATGTTTCTATTTAGTTAATGTTTTTCAGTTTCCCAAGTTTATCTAGATAAAGTGACATCTCTAAAAATTTTTTTGAGGAGCTATGGCGGGAAATGTCGTGTCAAATGTAATGTCGTTTAAACCCCCCACTGCACACTCGTCGAGTGGCATGGGAAGTAGCGAGAAAAGGAGCCAGAGACGTAGTGTGGCCACAGTACTCGTCGTGCCCATCGCTCCCTGTTTTGTCGGTTTTTTGGGCGCGAGTCAAAGGAATGGCAATATGAGCGCGAGTGGCTGGCCACTCGCACGAACGCAGTCCGAATCGAGCTTTCGTTACGGAAGCGTGGTTCGAATGCGATGAATACCCACCATCTCTGTTGGCGAGGATGACGACGTATAATTTTTTTTATGACATTGATATAATTAGCTACACTACATATGTATATAGCGCGCACGCTGCCGCAGTTTGAACATCCATTGTGTTGCAAACGCGAGCGACCTAGTGCAAAGCCTCGCGATTAACTGCACGAGTAGAGCAGTGTGTGGACAGAGAGGGCAACATCCCGGCAGCGCGAGAAGAGCGAGGAGCATAATGCGGCTGAGCCAAAATAATGGTTTAAAGTTGATTTTTGTTTTTTGGACGGCTTCAGACACTATAGTTCTTCAACTGTCCGCTAGGCAAATACTCCCAAATACTTCGTAATGTGTCGCATCAGCTAGTGTGAAGAATGTTGTAAAGAAAATACACATCAGATTAGGCTGAACTTCTAACAATTCGGCAGGACTCTGTGACGTGTCATGCAATGAAACCGAGCTCTCAGGTACTATATCAATAAATAGAGAACACTGGAGGTTAATATATGTATAAATAAAGAAGAATTCTTACGATCACCAGGTGTCGCTAGTTGGAACTGAGGTGAACATATTAACACAGTGTCTGCATCATTGAAAAGTTGCGTTTTAATTAAAAGTTTTAGAAGAATATGCTGCAGCTATATTAGTAGTATAGTTGTAGCACGATGGGGTCGGCTCGACCGGGGAAGGACCACGCTCACACAGAATACCAGCGTAAAATAGCAGCTTAATGCTGCTGTGCTTCGTTTGGTGAATGTAGAGAACCGGATACGTATAGTAAAGTATAATATTAAACAGATTTCATAGTGGGAAATTTAATTTGTTCGGAATATGTAAAAGTTATTGTTTCTTTTTGTACTATTAGCTATATTTTATATTAATAACAAAAAATAAATAAACCAAATTACAAATATTCATAAAAGTAGAAAAATTAAAAAAAAGTTAAAAAAGTGCAAAAACTTAAAGAGCAAACCACTGACGCATTGATTTGTGTGTTAATATAATAATGGAATAAGTCGCTCGCGTCCGTAGGCTTCGACCATCTAATCCTAGGCCCACCATACACGTGTCCCCCGGGTGGTGCTAAACGAGCGACAAAGCCGAAACGATAGACTCGGCTCCTCGCCGTATGGTAGCGGCGTATAATCTGCCACCCCTTAGGCACCATGAGCCAACAATTAAAAGAAATGGCCCCGAGTTCCCGGCGCCCCTTTAATGGGGCAGAGGTGCGAAGAATCTCCGGGAGGAAAACCGGCGACGAGGTTCGCCACGTCTCCCGGACGGGCGAAAAGTGGATTGCGGAGGCCCGTCTGGCTACGCTGAATGTATGTGGAGCAATGAATGATAAGATGAATGAAATATGCGAAATGATGAATGATAGAGGAATAGATGTGTTATGTGTGAATGAGACGAAACAAAAGGGAAGAGATGTCAATGCACATGGCATGTATACCGCTTACTGGTCTGGTGTAGATGAGACCAAGCGGGCATGCCAGGGAGTCGGTGTCATCCTTTCAGAAAGAATAGGTCAATTTGTGAAAGTGTATGAATGTGTAAGCCCAAGGCTGCTGTGGATACGAATGAAAGTGGGCTTAAAGAAGTTTTTCGTGCTTGGGGCGTACACCCCATATAAGTATATCCGAGAGCAGTTTTGGGACATGGTAAGGCTGGTGATGATGAAATGTAAGGAAAATGAAAATATTATTATGTTAGGAGATATTAATGGAAGGGTTGGGGTGAAGAGGTCTGGTTATGAAAGGATATTAGGAGCGTATGGCGATGAAAGAATAAATGAGAATGGTGAAGACCTCCTCACCGTATGTGTGGAAAAGAATCTTTTTGTGGCGACCACTTTCTTTCGTCATAAGAGGATTCACATGTATACTTGGGAAAGAGGGGATGATAGATTTCATAATTGTGGATGAAAGAATAAGGAGCGCAGTGGTAGATACAAGGGTTTATCGTGGGTCCAACGTAGGGACGGATCATTACTTGGTCTTATGCGGTATGCGTTACAGCGTATAAGAATAGAGAGGTTACAAGATGAAGGTGTGAAAGAGAATTATAAATGCAGACTGAGGGAAAATATAAGTGTGTTGAATGAATTATGTATGAATGATTTAGGCTTGAAGAATGTATGGAATAATGTTAAGAAAGTTTTGGTGGATACAGCCACCGAAGTATGTGGTGTAAGTAAGAGAACGAATGAAAGGAAAAGTAATACGTTGTGGTGGGATGATGAGGTACGGATGGAAGTTGAAGCAAAGAAGAGAGCATGGCAAGATTTATTAGCAACCAAGCTGGTAATTCTGGCGGTATGAATGATGAGATTGAAAGAAAAAAGGCAGACTTTAGACGTATAAATAAGAGAGTAAAAGAAGTTGTTGAAAGGAAAAAGCAAGAAAGGATAGATAAGAATGATAGAAGAATATCTGATAACTTCCAGGCAAATATTAAAATGTTCTGGAAGCTCGTAAGAACTGCCAGGGGAAATTCAAAACAGCCTAGAATGAATGCTATACGAGACGAGAATGGCTGCATGCTGAATGATGAAGTTTTGAATTTAAAGAGATGGAAGGAATACTTTGAAAGCGTGTTTAAGAGTGAAGAGTCGTCTGAAGTAAGTGAAATAGAAATTCCGGAAGAAGTGGAGAGAGGTTGGGAGATAAGTGTAGATGAAATAATGAAAGCAATGAAAAGCATGAAAGCAGGTAAGGCAGCCGGATATGATAGAGTACCACTCGAAATGCTAAGGGCTGGAGAGGGTGTGGTTGCAGGCTTGCTGTACACCTTGTTTAATTTATGTTGGGAACTGAAGCGGGTACCGGAAGACTGGTGCAAAGCCGTTATAGTCCTAATATATAAGGGAAAGGGGTCGCAGCAAGACTGTAAAAACTACCGTGGTATCAGCTTGCTTAGCATTGTGGGTAAACTGTATGCTAAGGTGTTAATTGAAAGAGTTATGGAAGAAACTGATGGAAAAATTTGGGATGTGCAAGCTGGATTTAGAAAGGGGATGGGGTGTACGGATCAAGTCTTTTCCATGCGCATGATTGCGGAGAAATTTTTAGCCAAAAGCCAGAAAGTTTTTGTGTTATGGCAAACACTGACCTCATTTGGGTTGAGCGCTGGTCTGATACAGGCATTAAAGTCTATTTATAGGGACTCTAGTGCTTGTGTCAGGATCAATGGGGTTTACTTGGACTATTTTGGCATTCAAAAAGGTGTCAGACAGGGCTGTGTAGCTTCTCCATGGCTGTTTAACCTATTTATGGACAGTTGTTTGCAAACTTTGAAAGTTGAAGAATGTGGGTTGAGAATGGGTGAGTTAACCGTCAAATGCCTTTTGTACGCCGATGATGATGATGTCATATTTGCACCGTCGGCGGTCGAGTTGCAAATGATGGTTACTTTAATGAACTGGTCATTAAAAGAAAGGGGTATGAAAGTGAACGCAAGTAAGACGAGTGATGGTTTTTAAAAGAGAAGAAAGTAAAACGTTATGTGAAATAAGAAGAGAAGAGAAGTGGAGTTGATTGAGCAAGTGGTGTTTCACAGTACTACAAATTCATTGGAATCTTGGCATGAAACAATATCAAATGAAATTAAAGACAAACCTTTAAATTAGTAAAGTTTTGGATTGCTTGCAAAAAAACGCCCAGTTGTTTGCTAACACATCTGTTGTAACAAAGAAATTTAGAAAACGATTGCAAATGTACATTAAAAGAGACGAATTTATACAGGATATACAATTACGTCTACTCAATAATGAAATTAGTGTTGGTCATTTCCTGGACATATTGCAAAATTTATAAATTACTTATTATCATTCAAAAGTAAACGAGGAAGTTCAATTTGGTTTTTGTTTGAGTTTGTGGTTATAAAAAATTAATCAATAATATATTACTAAAGTATGAATATATTATATGTTGAACTGTTATTGGGATGAAAAGGCGGAACAACTATCAAAAAGTGAAATATCCACCCTAGGGTGGACACTCGAAATAACCCAAAATAACAAATTCAAATTACACGATTGATTAATCAGTCATTAAAATAAAGATATTATGATAATAAAATAATTACACAGCAATACTAAATAATATATTATGACACGTTTATATTAAATACAAATATTATATGGGACTTATTTAAAAATATTTCAAAATAATCACAATATGCAATTTGCAAAAGCAACTTAATCTACAATTCAATGTTGGTTAACATGTTTCGATAGACACCAAATGCACTTTTTATAGGTACATCTATTAATAGTGGAAGTTGTCTAGAAGACAGACTTTAGTCTAACACATTTCGGAATATCACTAAAATTAATCTTAAATATCTAATGTCATTTTGAACCATTTACTAACTCATTTGGATACTTGTTAATAAATCAAAAACATTCGCAATTATTTACACTTATTAAAGTATATACCTTATCATAAGACATTCACTATTTTTGGTTCTATGTTGAGTAATTAATATATTTTAGTTTAATTACAAAATACTTACAGTTTACATGGATTAAAAATTACGAACCGCACCAGTAAATAATAAGTTACCCAACGCTAGCATTATCTCCTGTATCGTGATGGCAATTACTTACATAATT